AGGGTTTCGGGTCTAGGGTTTAAAGTCCACAAGTGCAATGGAGTTAGGGTTTTAGGTTTTTTTGGTTAGAATGCAAACTCAGGGTTTTGGGCTTTCCGGTTAATTCGGGTTGAAAAGGGCTCAAGGGTCAGGGTTCAGGGTTAGGTCTAAAGGGTTCAGGTCTAAAGGGTTCTTATGAGGGGGTCCTAAACTGTCCTAAACGGGATCCACCTGTTGGATTGGGGTTTGGGGTTCAGAGTTGCGGGTTTCGGGCTTAGGGTTTCAAGGGTTCTTATATAAGAGGAGTCTCTGCGGATTCGTTGTTATAAGGGTTCTTGGAAGGGTTCTGGCTTCGACTTTAGGGTGTAGGTATAAAGATGTTTGAAAAGTTGTTGTGATGAGCTCTGTTGAAGATTCCTCAGAAGGGTGCGGGTGCCAATGACAAGGACTTCTGAGAGTCCATCTTTCGTGATTCAGTGGGTTTAGGGTTTAGGGTNNGTGGCAGTAGCAGGAGCAGGAGCAGGCGTCGTAGTAGTGGCAGTGGCGGTCGTCCTCGTGGGGTACTAGAGGTGGCAAGAAGAAGAGCAATGATGACATCTTGCATCAGTGGAGGCACACCTGTGTGTGCGTGCGCGTGTGTGCAACAATAGTCTTTGTGTCCTGGCTCAGGAGATTTATGTAGAGCTTGATGGGTTCCGCTGTTAGTCCAAGATTTGGGGATCAATGAGGATTTCCTGCTCAGGCTTGGGACCTTGAGTTTGGGGTGTAGATGTCAGGATGGTAAACCTTTCTGGTGTAATCAAGAAGTGTAGGTGTAGTGGTTTTTAAGGCAAAGGTTTGGGGTCTGGGCCTTGCGGACATAAAGATGCATAACCGAAAACGACGTATTTTAGGGATCTTCGGTTCTGCACCAACGCAAACAACTCTGCTTGTGCCCGGCACGGAACGCCTTGTTCATGAAGCACACCAGCGCAGGAACGCCAACCTCCACGTGAGCAAAAGTCAACCGTCCGGATGTGTTTTCGACAAAGTGGAGGGGCCCTAACCGAGACCCGCAACAGAAGACAGCCGTTGAGTTGCGACGAGAGAGACGTCTCAAGGAACTTTGTCGTGCAGCACAACTTCCGCGGAGCATGTACATCTAAGGCCGGATGGCTTCGAATGACGTGTATATTGTAGTATACTGTGGTCTACTATAGTATACTTTAATTTTTGTGGCAAGTTACGTCATATTATGCTCGATTAGAGTCAGGAACCGGGAGCAAGATGCTGGGTACTGCGGCTAAGTAGTGATCGCGGTCCCGCAGTAGTGTACTCAGCGGCGAGCGAAGGCGCGGCCAGTGAACTGCAGGATCTGGTGTATATTAGCAAACAAGTGTGTATCGGCCATGAGGTACTAGCAATATACTCTACATTAAGGTTCATAAACTCCTGTGACTGGGAGCCCGCCTGCTTCGAGAGGAGGATGTGCTCACGAGTCTGGGCCATTGGGCCATCCGGAGAGGAAATGACGAGGATACCGCCGTCCATCTGGCAAGCTCCTGCATAGAAACTCCTAAAACATTCCCACAATTAAGCATGGCTTTGCTGTAGCAGGGTGCCGACGAAAGGATTTACAGCTTCTTGGGATGAGTTTTTTAAGTTCTATACAAGATTAGCGAACGTCACCGCAGCAGCATATCCCCCCCCAAACAGCTCGCAAAGCTGACACCTCTACGTATGAGAGGTTCAGATTGCGGAGCCTTTCCCTCCCCTGGGGGCAAGAAATGAAGGATGTTGTTAGTTAGGATTTACATTAAGGTCCCGTACTTCAGTAGTACCGCAGGCGTGGAGTAGTACAGTAGTCGGACTGTAATGCAGTCCGACTACACAGCAGTGCAGTAGTGGTAACAAAGGGGGCCTTAATAATTATGTTGCAACTTTTGAGTGTCACCGTCCCAAAGCAGATGGCCTGTCGTTTCATCCTCTCGTGTTTGACCCGCCAACCCGCAAATCCCAACTCGGCGCTGGAACCCGCACTAGGAGCTTCCGGAAACTGGTATAATGGCCTGACCTCCTGTCCACTTGGGGTTGTCCGAAAACAGGGGTCCCTAAGATAGTACCCTAAA